AACCCTTTCTGTTAATATTTAAAACAAATACATTATTTATGTTTTTGTAGAGGCGCCATCATTCATGCAGCAGTGGGTCTGACAGTAGTGAGGTAAGACATAAATAATGCCATAATTGTTTGTAAAGAACACAGTAATATACATTTTTTTCAATGCTTTTGCAGAGTGGCCAACACCGCTGGATTAGACCTTCATTCAATATCTGTACTCTGTTTCCGATTCTATGTGTGCAACCACCTATTCAGCCATCAACATCAACCACAACACAGACTTCCAGGACCACAATCATGTCTACCACTACAGCCCCGAGGGGAGACAGTATTTGAATAGCATTGATCTGGAAAAAAAAAAAGTAGCTTATACTACTTTGGTTTGAACTTTCCAGCATAAGCAGCACAAAGCTGCATAATAATAGGGAAATTGATGCTGTGAGAATGATGTCTGTTTTTTACATTTTGTTACCTTGGAGCCAGAAATGAACCAAATTTTATTGGCATTCAAAAATATTGCATACCGTGTTTGCATATTTTCACATTTCAGTATTGCAGCATCCTTCAACCTCCCTTTACAATGTTATATATGTTTTGTTGATCCTACTTATTTGAATGTTTTGTTTAATTAAAAAAAAAAAAACTTATATAACCAGTGAGGTTGTATGTTGCACTGTGATTTGAAACATTTAACATTTAGAGAGGCATTCAGTCAGCAAGGTAATGATGAGTTTTGTTAGAGACTAGGCTTCCAGACATTAGTGGGAGGGATGCTGACGACATGCATGCGTAATATCCAGTCAGCGGGTACACACAACACCAACCCTAGATCAACACAGCTTAAGTGAGGGATGATTGCTGAGCTGTTAATGCATGGCTCTGTGCTTCATGAGTTAAACACATAGTACTGCTTTATTTCTTCTTCACACACCCTCTTCAGCAATATTTTCACTGATTGCACAGCACTGCTTGCTCCGCTGATTTGACAAAAAAAAGTAATTAAGATTGTCATTAGCATACACCCTTTTAACAAAGCTAGTATGGTCTCTTACTTTCTCTTTGATGTGATGTGTGCATGAATGTGCATTATAAATGTAATCTCCTGTTTTGTGGATGTCTGCCTAATTTGCAAACTTGGTTAATTTTGTAAACCAGCTGGCAACCAACTTTTAAAGTATGCACTGAATTATATGTATTTTTCATAATTGTTGTATTTGATGCTTTGATGATTTTTTTTCAGAATAAATTATAATTTGAAAAGAGAACCTTGTTGTGGGATACTGCACTTTTTAATCTATCTATCTATCTATCTATCTATCTATCTATCTATCTATCTATCTATCTATCTATCTATCTATCTATCTATCTATCTATCTATCTACATAGTTAGACAGATACTGCTATTACTAATAACAATTTATTATTATTATTTGGATCCTGTACCCAAATTGCCACTTGTCAGTAATTTTTATGTATGCCGTTTTAGCGTATGATGTTGCAAACAAAATGTTGTGTCAGTTTAAAATGATGGAAAGATATTACTTTATCAAATGTGAAAAAAAATGTGTGGTCATAAGTATTATCTGTGTTTCCTTTATTTTATTATTTGTTATTGAGTGTTTGATTAAAGAAGGTTGATTCAAGGTGATCTACAAAGGAAATTTCTTTTAAACAGAACAACTAAAAGTCAAGCTGGATAGAATTTATACATATTATAATTACTTGCTCTTCAATTTTCTCTCACATTTCAAATACATTTAGTGCTAAGTTAAGCATTTGAGCTCATCTGCAAATTAATTTTAATATTTGAATCAACATATATGTCATTAATGTGTAGTTTGTCATTTTCTTATGTCTTACATTAACTTATCAAGTGTTCATTTTTATGTCTGTTGCAGCTTCAGTTATTTTTCATGTCTGCTTTTTAAGATTCTTTTTTTGCACATCACACATTCTTGGTTTGACCATACTGCAATTACAACAGCGAGACACTGACACATCAGCCACACCCGTAGGTGCCCGTAGTAGCAGGACAACCACAAGGCCTCAACTCTCATGCGTTTGTTTAATTATTTCAAGAGACATTACACCATCATAATTGAAGAAAAACATGCCGTTTAGGACACTTATTAGATTTTCTTTGGTTTCCACCTCCCTGCTTCATTCAGCAGATGATTAGGTTGAATTTATCTTTCTTCAGTCTGCCATGTGATTGGTTGATCCAGTTTGTGAGCAGTGCATAAGTTGAAGGACCCCTCCATACAGTTTCAATGAATTTACTCCTGAGTGCTCCACGGAGATAGTCCTTAAAGCACCCACTGATCCAGTGGAACTGATTAAAAACCATATCGATTTTGTTCTCTTTTTGGAAATGATTATCATAACGCTGCTGTTATGCTTTACCATAGAAGTCTCTGCAGTACCAGTAAGTAGACTAATAGAATATGGTTTAAAATACAATACTTGATATAATTATATAATTTTATGTTTATTCATTTAATACTGGTTGTCATTTAATTAACATTTGACATTCTATGAACTCTGTGACTCAGTGATAATTTTACCATCTTCTTTCTTTCTTTCTTTCTTTCTTTCTTTCTTTCTTTCTTTCTTTCTTTCTTTCTTTCTTTTTCAGGTCAATTCAAATGTCCGTCGTCCCCTGCTGTTACAAGGAGGGGAAACAGCAACTCAAGGTGCTCAGCACGTTGTAGCCACAAACCAGAAACCCGAATCTCCTACGCCAGCCTCTATTTCTCCAAGTGTTCAGCCACAGGCAGGAGGTCTACAGCAGCCTGATCCACAGCTCATTCCTTCACTGCAACAGTACCCCTGGTATCCACAAGGGGGCATGCCCATGCAGCCACTCTTCTATGGACCCCACCAGCTGACACTGCCACAGCAGCCTCTAGTAGGAGGAGGCGGGGGAGCTAAGAAAACAGAATATTAACTCTTATTTTAAATGATTTTCTCCCTTTAAAAATGTGTGTTGCTGCTTTTTTCAGATTTTCCCACCTTATGGATACTTACCGCTGTTCTCCTCACACTATGGGAATCAGCTGGTAAGCTAAGAGACACGCTTGCTGGAGACAGGAAACACCCTAAAACCCTTTCATAAGACACAGTATTATGAAAATAAAGACATTGGTATTTTGGCTTTTGGAGTAAGGAGTTAATATTGGAGTTGTAACTTGTGGTGTCGGTGCAGAAATTGTTGATATGTGTTGTTTTGTTTTATTTTATCTTCTCTCCATCAGTTCAGCCCATATGGTTACCCAATGATTCTGGAATCGGCTCTCCCACAAACTCCAGCAAATCAGCTTCCCAACAGTCCAGTGTTACCTGCAGAAAATGCTGCAGGAGTTGCAGTTGCTCCTTCAATAGATGCAACTCAGGGAATACAGCAGCCACAGCAGCAGCTGCAACAACAGGTGTCTCTGCATATACATAATGCAGAATAAGGCAAAAAAAAGAAAAAAGAGTTACAATTATCTAACCGAATTCTCATCCACAGAATCCCCAGATTGTATACATGCTACAGCAACCAATGGTAAATATATAACACCCTCTGCAGACTTAGATGATTAATGCTATTTGCAATTTCACAATTTTCTTTCTGCGAACATTTCACTTGACATATGTTGTAATTCCTTACCAGAGCTCACCTCTTGGCAGTCTTAGCTCTGAGGAACTTCAGGTAACACAGCCAAGATTTTTTTCTTCTTCCAGCTTGTTCAAACAGTCTGTTTAGTGAACTCAGTGATCCCACTAACACTGCCCCTCCCTTGCCTCTTTACAGTATCTTATCTCTGTTTACTGTTTCAGATGGCTGCTACAATGGGCCAATTGGGGGTGTACATGCCTAATGTGCTTACAAACCAGCCTGCGGGAGCTGTCCAGCCCGAGAGCCAGGCCGCAGGACTCACACACCCAGAACAACAAGGCGTTCAGCCAGCTGTGGGGACCTCAGCTGCTGGAGCTCAACCGATAAAGGCACTGCCGTGCTCTGGATCACATCCAAATGCTAGCGGGTTCTCTGCAGGTTTAGCTGGGTCGGATGCTGCCACTGCCCAAAGACCTGCTGAACCCCAGCTTCAGCCCATGCGGGAAACCCTTGTCTGAGACTGTTGTCACCAGTGGAGATAACCCACAACATACAGAGAAAACAAAATGCATTATTGATGGGTACTAACAACTATTCAGTGGAGCTTCTCAAGGATATTACTAACCGTTGCTATTTAATTTCATTTATTATTATTTTACTTAAAAAAATAAATAAATAAAAATAAATGTCAAATAAAAAAGGAAAACAAATAAGGCTGGGCCTGAACTGTTTTGTCTTTCCATGTTACTGTCTTTCATAACCTTCAATTAAATACATTTTAAAACCATAATGTAAGAGAGTGTGCACAGTATTAATCTAATCATCATCCTGAAGCATATTTATCCCAGATTATAGATTGTCATCACACCTCTGACGTATCCACGCAGGCTCAGATACAATGTGCAGTGAATGTCCCTAAAACTGTTGTAAATTTAAAGTTCTACCCAATTCATTGAAAAAGACATTCAGTTTTACAAGTATACATGATCATTTGTAGGTTTTAACAGGCCTCGAAATACTGCTGTTGGTAAAGCATTTATCCTCTAAACATCATCAGGTATAAAGCATCATATTTTCTATTAGGAAAAACACACAGGAGTAAGTAAGGAAGCACTCTTTTGAATTCCAACTCCTACTCCCGAATAACCCTGTTGCCCTTTTTGAGTGTGAGCTGTTGCAAGGAGGCACCTGATAAGACACATTGCAGAGGAATGTGAAATATGTGCTTTTCAAGCCAAAAAAATTATTAAGAGATTTCCCAGACATGCAGCTGCCAGGTTTGTGATCATACAAAGAAAAACGATTGGCTTACCATCAATACCTGTCAAAAGTTTGCTCGCCCTTTGTTTCTCTCAGCAAATAAATAGGCGATCTCACTCTCCTCTAATCACACCTCTCTTCAACAATCCTCCAGTGCTCACGTGCAGCCAGGGAAGAAAGGTAATGTAGATCCTGCTAATATCACATGAAACTGCAAAAGACGTTTTAAATTTGAATGCTTTTTTAAAAGACGTGCACTAAAAACTACCAAATGTAATAACTCAAAATTCTCTTTCTGTCACAGCAAGTTTCAAAATGAAATTTATTGTGCTTGCTGCCTGCATCCTTGGGATGGCCATCTCTGCTCCTGTAAGAAAAATACTTACATTTCTGGAAAAATATCTATTTTCCCTTTCTTTTTCTTTCACATGTAACAATTAACATACAACATTCATCTTCAGTATTTTAGAGAAATATCACCTACAGAGCTTTAATACTCACCTTTGTTTTTTTTAGCAGATGGAGTTTTTCGGTCATTGTTATCCGTTTATGGTGTCTGTTGTTGTCTTTAGCATTAATCAGTAAAACAACATTCAATAACTCTCTGAACATGTTACACTGACCTGCATTACACTGAATTTTATTCTCTTCTTTACAGCTGCAGATATTTGAGGAGTTTGACATCCATTACGCTCCACCTCAGGTACATTAAGAAGCAGCTTGGATCAGCTGGTGGATATCATGCCACCCACACACATTAACCACAGTAAAAGCCAGATTTTCAAACTCTGCACGGTGGTCTGTTATGATTTGTTCACCACTGATGTCTTCATAGCTGAACTGCTTTTCTCCAACACGGCTGACTTTTCTCATAAGATTGTGTCCCTGTTAAGTGTATATGATTGATACTGTATTTCAGGCGGCCCAGGTTATCCCTGCTGGAGTCCCACTTGACAATCTGGAAGTTGTAAGAGTTCAATCATTGTTTTGCACCTTTTCAGAACTTTTCTGTGCATCTGGTGATTATTTCTTTACTATGTTGTTTTAATGCTTCCAGTTGCTCCCTGTTGATGCCCAAAGACACCCTCTTGGAGGACCTGTGAGTAGCACAGTTCATAAATATATATATATAGATATTTACCTATTGAGAGTGTAGTTTGCAGACTTTGATCCAAAGAATGGAAATGGAATAGAAACCTAAATGCTATCTGATAAAAAGAGTTAATTCTATAGACTTTGACGTTTTTAGAGCCTACATGTAATCAAAGAAGAACCACAAATCAGAAGTATTACAGATTCCAGTGAATTATGAGTTTCTAAGTCTGTTTTCATTGAAAGGTCCACGGCTTTATCAAGCACGAGATTCCAAATCCGAATGGCATAGGTACCAGGGAGGTGGTAGGTGTCTGCAGAACATATTTTCTCTAGCAAAGGTTTTTCAGATATTTTATTGAATTCACAATTTATTTTATTTTCTGTAGTTCTACCCCTTCGGCTTCAACCTGCCTAATCCAGCTGCAGCTGACCCAGCTGCTCCAGTTGCCCCAGCTGCTCCAGCTGCTCCAGCTGCCCCAGCTGCCCCTGTTGCTCTTGCTGATCCTGCCATTCCTGTGGAACCTCTGAATCCTGTCGTCGTTGCACCTCCCCCAGTAAGAAAGACTATCGCATTTAAATGTATTTAACAAACAATAAGCCTCTGTCATGATTTGATACTGGCAATATGCAGTTTAGTGCAGTAATAGCTTCAATAGACTTTGACAGGCAATAAAGTGGAGTTGGATTGAAGTGAAATTTGTTATGAGGGCAGCCGGTTCATTCCAATAAAAAGGATCACGTCAGACAAACCTCCCAACTATTTCTGCTGAGTTGTGGAAAAAACCGTGACTCATAAATGCACATGTAGGAGACTATCATCAGTCCTGATTCGCTCACCCAAGTCCTCTGTCATTTTAGCGTGGCAAAGATGATGAAGATGAAGATGACTAAAACTACTTAGTCAGCAGGAAAAAAACACTCTTGGCACACTCAGGTATCAATTCACATATTCATATATAAAGGTTTTAGCAAAGTAGTTCATATAAATAAATATGCAAGGATCACATGTTATTTTTCTAGGGGATTGAGTCTCTCAAACTTTCATTTGCTTTTGTCCCCACTGTAGGTGACCAGAGGTGTAAGACTATCTGCTTACTGTGGTGAAAAATCGCCAGCCAGCAATGCTATTTTCTGTGGTGCTATGCATTTTTTGAAATGGTGCTTTGTTTGGAAAAAGAAGAATAAAGTCAAAAAGCATGACATGCCTCTTATGAAAAAAAAATTGATGGTTTGCAGTTAAATATGACCAAAAGAAAATATCAAAATAAATGTAGCAGCATATTGTTTCCTCTCTACATGCAACATCAAATGTTTAATTTCTGTGCTTCATAATAAATGAAACAGCTCATTCATCTATTGTTTCTGGTTCTTTGCTTCAGATATATTTCAAATAATAAATATCTGATACTCAGTCCATGAATTATATGCAGCATTTTGCAGATTATTACTGACTTGCTTTTTTGACTATCCACAAATGGCTACAGCAGGCAATTATATTTATTATAAATAATAAAGGCTGTTCTCTGATTTCACTACTATGTGCTGCTTCAGTACAAATTTATTTTTAGAGTAAAACAAGCAAACAAACAAAAAAGGATATAGTATTATATTTATCTATGCTGTATTAACATAAATTTTTAGTTTCAGATATTTGTGCCACCTTATGCAATTGTAGTGAGACTAATGGCAGAATGAGGAGTAAGCAAAGTGAAGGTGTGCTCTGCTCTAGACGGTATAATCAAACAGACGACTCTGCTATTACACAGAAAGTGGATATGACCACTGGTCATTTAGTAAAGCTGAAGACTAGACACCTAAACTCTACCTAGTCATTGGGCAACACCACTCCTATCTCCTGTGACTGGCTCTTTGGTGAGAAAGCAGTGTATAAATATCCAAGTAACGCTGCAGAAGTCACAGTCCAACCTGCTGGCATCATCTCCAACATCAGCATTCATCATTTTCTCCTTTTCTGGTGATTTTTAAAATTTCAGACGGTGAGTTGAGCAAAATTTTAACATTAGCTCCTACATGCCTTTCCAGAAGGAAGCAACCATCCAGTGTGACTGTGGTGGAAGTTTCACAACTTGGAATGATTTATTTTATGTCTGTAGGATAAACATGAAGCTGGCCCTCTTGTGCCTCTGTTTGGCTAGCACAGCCTGTGCTGCACCAGTGAGTGTTAAGTAAAAGCCAACCATTTATTTCATGGAGCTGAAACCTGTCCAATACTTAAAGTTTAACTTCTGTTTGTGCCTTTAGTTTCAGTACTTGCCTCATTACACTGGATCCAGGCAACAGATGCCAACTTTACAGGTAATTATGCATACCGCATACTGTTTATCTTCTCTATATCTTCTGTGTATATTCTATATACAGGCTCAAAATACTGCAAACACCTACACAAAATATTGCTGTATACTGAAGTCTTCAAAATTTGCATGTATTCAGATGAACAATCCCTTTACGGCTGGTTTTCCACACACTGGACTACCTGGTGGTTACAGTGTGGAACTGGTATGTCAGACTCTTATTATTACTCAGGTTTATACACGTTTTCAGATCAGCACCATTATTTATTACATTTGGCTCTAACAGTGGCTATGAATCATGATTACAGTACAACATTTACGTTTTTTTTTCTCCAAGATTTATCCCCACAGATTTCCAGGTGGTGCAGGTGTTTCAAACCCAGCACAGGTATGCATACATCAGTTTGAGAGAAGTTTTTCCACCTACAAAAAAATAAAAATAAAATAAAAATCACCTAACTTCTTTTCGTTGATCCTGATTTTACTTTTGTCTTCTTTCTCTCTGCAGCCCTTTTCATCTTTTGGTCTCATCAAGTACTCCATTCCTCAGCTACCTGGCAGACAGAGTGTTGAAGTAGTAAGTCATTTCTCTTTCCTGTTGCAGATTATGGAAACTTTTGGCCCAGGAAACCTTTCTGCTCATAGAAGTGTTTTAACTGCTTTCTTGAACTTTTTTGTGTCTTGTGTTTTTACAATTCCAGTTCTATGCATATGACTTTGCTCAGCAAAGGGTAAGAATTTTGAACTCTTAGATATTAATTAAAAATTTGAAAATATGAATTTATGTTTGTATATTTCTATATATCATGGGACTAAATACAATATATAATTTTATTACAGATAATCCCAAACATCCCCCCAATGACAAAAGGCCCCATAGTGCCAGAAGTAAGATTTTAGTTATTCTATTTTTACCCCATTTGTATTTTTGTTGTTTATGTTTAAAAACATGTTTGTTTATTTACCATTATACTTGTTTCCCCACAGGTTCTCCCATTTGACTATCCACCACAAAACATTCCCCAGCAAAATATGAACGTGAGAAAATACAGTAGCAAATAATATAATCTCATTATGTTTTGAAGAAGCTATTGACTGTGTATCTCCATGTTTTGGTAAAGTAGGTGTTTTTTTTTCTTTTCTTTTTTTCCAGATTCCGCAATTTGACGCTAATGCTCTTCCATCCCAGGACCCCCCAAAATTGCACCTGCAGGATCAGCCCATACAGACAAGCCAGGTAACCAATCAACAGATTGGTCCTTATAAAGCATCTTTAAAAACAAGGGAACACTATTTGAAATGTGTATGATTTTAACAATGCTGATATGAAACTGCTCATTTGTCTTTACAGATGCCAGCAAAGGTGTAAACATGTGAACATTCAGAAATCAGCATTGGAAGAAATTGTCAGTGATGTTGTTTCCGAAAGTGCTAACATGAGTTAAAACCCCACCCACAAATGTTATAAATAACACTTCTTTATTAAGAAATCACAACATTATTAAACTAAAGAGTAATAGGATAATCTGCATAAAATAAGACATAGTCCTGAAGCACTCTTTTATTCCCCTTGTCATTTCCCCACATTAACAATAACCTGTTCTAGAACTGCAGATGCAATGTGATGCTGAATTTTCATCATACTTTAATTACTTCATTCTAACTTTTCCTTAAATGTCATTTTCTTTGAATAAATAAAGTCTACTTTTTGAAGCAAATTTTGATACTTTTACTCATTATTTAAACACTTGTAGATCTGCTTTGTTTTTTTTTGTTTTTTTTATTAAAATATACATGTAGTAAAAATAATGTTATTTTTCCTTTAGGATTTAACTTGTGATTTAACATTACACTATTACAAAGCTAGGTGGATTATCAAGTATCAGTTTGACTTTAACTGTGGTGCTATTCAAAAGTACATTTCATACCTTGCTCTATAAAGACCTTGCCCTAGTTAGTGCCTCAGGTCTTCTGTCAGGTGAGAAAATAAATATCTCACTTGTCACATACAACAGCCTCCACACAGCAAAACTTGGTTCCTTTCCCAAAGACTTCTATAAACCTTGGAATTTTTTTTTTTTACTTACAGTCATATCTCTTCAGTACACTTAAATAAATACCAAAGGTTTGGGTATCAGCAGCAACTCCATTTCTATAACTGTGTTGCTAGAAACTTCTAACATACACAATAAACTTGAAATTGATTATTTGAACTGAACTCTTACATTGAAATTTGTGTTGAAAACTAATCTCAGAATCTATGAATAATGAAGAAAAATGCAACAAGTCATAAGAAAAGCATGATTGTAAATGATTAAAGACATAAAAATATGTCTATTTTAGAGTTTAGATTTATTCCTGAATGGAATAAACCAAATTCATCTATAAATACTATTGCTTGATTTCAGTTTGCTGAGTTTGGTATGTTTTGTATGTTTAAGACTTAATATTACTTGCCATCACATGAGCTATTTTACCAGAAAATACTCTAGCATTATCAGCCTAAAAATAATATTTTCTAATGAATTAAGTTATGTTTATAAAAAAATATAAATATGCAATCTTATATATGTATAATTTATATAAAAATAAATAAATAAAATTAAAATTTGTTCAAAATTAGCCGACAAAAATGTAGAACCTTACCTGATTTCAGCATCGGTGGTATAATTTTTAGATCTTCAGTCACATTACATTTTCTTGTACTTGTGGACATAAGTGTAGGCAAAGTTAGAGGGAGCCAAAAATGTGTAGAACCGCATGAATGCTGAGAAAACAGCATGTGCCTCCCAGTCTTGCTTCTCACCTCTGGCAATGGCTTTGAGCTTGGAAACTGTGGTCACTTTGACTGAAAACTTGAATCTTCACACGGGTCCCTTTGAAACAGAAAATAATGTTTGCTCTTTGCTTACCTTTAAGTTCCACAATTAAACTGCAGAGCACGGCGTTCAAAGAGCAATTTAAGTATAACACCTACACCAGAGTAATTCTGCACATGCCTGTGAAGATTATCGAATAGGAGATCAGCCATGGTTAAAAGTCAGAATTTTGATCTTTTATAACACAATTCCCAGAGGTTTTGATCACAGCTTGTATAAAAATCCTTGTTTAGTTCTGCAACATAGCACATACATTATAAACACCATCTAAGTGCTTTATGTAAGACACTACTATAGTTTATCACACAGAAGACATGAATTTTCACTGTTGGTGGCAAAATTTCCCCACTGTGAAACGTAATTGTCATAAGAAAGTAAAAAACATTACAGGAGAGAGAACGATCTCCCTGATCTTGGCTCACCTGGGGACAAAAGCTTGTCCCAACATGACTGAACACTTACCTCTTCAGAGGCACATCAGAAATGCAGACATTGGCCTCTCACGCTATTACTGTCTCTTCTTCAAAAGATTCTTTCCTGGAACTGTAATTCAAGCCAAAAAGTCCCCTTTTTAGTGTTTTACAGTTATATATGATGTGGATTCACATTACTGATAGTTTAATGTTCATGTTGGGTTTTACCACTGCAGATGTTTGAGGTTTAGCTCATTTTAAAATTCTTTATATACTGGTGCATAGTT